TTACCAGTGCTGATGGGGGTGGGCTGTCACCCAATCCCTTTCCCCAGCTAGTCCTCCTCCCAGTAGGGGCACCGGCTCCCTCACCCACCTGCCTTCCTCCCCACCTCTGGCTGGCAGCCTACTGCCCTTTAAGCCCCCACCCTCTCCACCCAGGCTAGAAAATGAATGTTCAGGGCTATCTGTCATGCTCAAACCAGCCCGACATGTGAGAGGAGACGCCAACACAATGCATTTCTAGGCTCAAGCCTCTAGATGTGTGCATTTGTGGGCACGGGAAGCCCAAGGGGGGCTCCCATGACTGCCTAGGTCCCAGAAGTTGGCAGGGCCCAAGGGGAGTGGCCAAGCCACAGTGTTTGCATCCAGTTGCGCTATGGGCTATGTATTGATTGCTCGCACATGACAATCCACCTGATGGACAGACCAGGGACCAGGGCCTGAGAAATCCACCACCACCACCCCTGCCCCACAGAGGGAGGGCGGGCTCCTGGCTACCACTTTGGCCCACTGGGATCTCACTACGGGGATAGGGTAGGCACGGGAGGCGGGGCAGGGGGGTAATGTGCTGGCTAAAGTCCTGTCTAGAACACCTCCTTCCAACTGGCTCTGAACTGGAGCTGAGGGATAGGTGCCCCACACAGGGCCCTGAACAAGTCCAAGGGGTGCCATTCACTGTGTGGCCCAGGGGACAGCACCTCTACAGTTGGGCACCATGGTAGCTCTGGGGATGAGGTGGGGCAGGAGGCAAGGACCATGATGCTCCAGTGAAGCTTCTAGCATCCTCTGCTCCCACCACCAGCACATAGACCTCCAGGTGGGGGGTGGGGGGGGTGGGGAAGGCTCTATTCTCACTTGCCATTAGAAGCCTGGCTCCCTTTTTTCTGTGGGCTTGGCAAACCACCTCCCCAACCTGGAGTTCCTGGTCTGGCAGGAACGGGCTCACCGGGGCACTGTGGTCAGAGCCCTCCCCTCCCTGGGTCTCTTCACTGAGGGTGCTGGGCCAGGTGCCTCTTTTCAAAGGTGCCCCCAAACCCCACAGCTCGCCAGCCTGCACACCTGTTGGAACCTGCCCAGCCCCTCGGGTCACACCAGTGGCTACAGGCCACCCAAACAAACCCCAGCCCCATGGGCTTCCAGGCTGGATACAAGACACTTTCACCCGGTGGGGACGTCAAGAGAAGCCTGATGGGCTGGACGGGGGACCCAGCACAAACAAGCAGAGGTGCCACCCAGGAGAGCCTGACCGAAGGCCTTCCTGGCTGCGCAGGGAGGCCCCACCTGGGTGGTGAGAGGCAAAGACAAGAGAGGGCAGGGGGGGCTGGATTCCGGGAAAAGCTAAGAGGTGCTAAGAGGCAGTCCTATCTCTCAGGCCTCAGTTTCCTCCTCTGTAAGGAGGCAGGGTTGTCTAGTGGGGGGCACCGGCTTTCAAGGCCCTTCTAGTTCTAAGTCCAGCTGGACTGAGCCCAGGGGACTAAGCCCTCTACCTGCATCAGGCCCCTCTCTGCAAGGCCCTGCCCCTGCCAGCAAACCTCCTCGCTCCATCTGCTGCCCCTCACCTTGGCTAGCCCCTCAGCCTGTGCTGTGCTTTTCTGCACGTCCCTCCTGCCAGGGGACAGACCAACTAAAAATAGTCCCTGCAGCCTTTCTCGCCCACAGCTGCCCAAAGAGCAGGAAATGAGGGGGGTAGGGAGGCCCCTGTCCTGCCCTGATCCATAGACTCCCAGCTCAGAGCCATGCCCAGCGCTCCAGCCTGGGGCTAGTGCCAACTTGGCCACCTCGGGGGCATCCCACACCCCTTCCCTAGGGGAAGGCCTGCCCCTAAGTGCCTGCAGTCACAGAGCTGCCCCTGCTGGGCAGGAGGCGGGGCGGGCGAGGAGTCAAGCGGTTGAGAGGGAACCCTTCCCAATTTCTGACAAATCAGTGCCAACCACATTGTGGGCACCGAGAGGGCAGGCCTGGCTCCACCGGTTAGTCTTTTGAGGGCAGAGGGAATTGGCATGGGGAAATTTGTACTGGCTTCCTTTATCCTGGCCCAGCTGGAGGGAAAACAGATTAGTGCCCTGGTCTCAATTATGCTAGTCTCCTGCCCCCTAAAATGTGTGGGTAAACCCAGGGGTTTTGAGAGTCACCCCCCAGATACCATGTGGGGGGGAGGGCTAAAAAGAATAGAGAAGATCTTGGCTGCCCACATGAGAAGCTGGAAGCCTGGAGGTGAGACTTGGCCATGCCTGCCAGGCTGGACAGGGCTGCCAACCCTGCCGCCAGCATCTGCTGCCCCCAAGCTGAGTCAGAGGCTAGGAGGGAAGAGCATCTGGTGCTGCAGTGCCGGGGCTCCGGCCCCCACGCCTCTCCCACCTGGGATTCTGACACCCTCCCAGACCTGGGAGGAGGCAGGCCCTCACCCAGCTGAGTGACTCCGGAGGCCTGTGGGGAGCCCAGCCAGGCCCCAGGAGGCGGCGGGAAACCAGGCTTCCTGGTGCCCAGCCCGCCTGCCAGGGGAGAGAAAGTGAGAGAAGTACCTTCGTTCCTTCTAGGGGAGGGGAGCACAGGGCAGGGCACCCTGCAGCTCCCAGATGTGACCCATTAGGTGCCTGGGGGCTGGGCCAAACAAGGAAGAATGCTGGTTCTGGGATAGGAAGGTGGGGCGATCTGGCTCTCACCTCCCAGAGTGCCCTCCCCCTAATCTCCAGACCCCAGCCCATCATTCCTGAGCATCCGCTGGCACCCCTTCCCCAGGGCCAAGTAAAGTTAAGGAGTCCACAGGCCCAGGGTGGCACCGGAAGGCACCAGCAGTGCCAGGGGCAGCCCTCAGCCCATCCTCCCGCTGGCTTCTCTCCCGCCTGCCTGCTCTCAGCCGCCACACATATCTCAGCTGTCAATTCTGATTAGGGCTTCTGCCCAGTGAGCGGACAAGGAGGCCACTGGGCAGGGGAGAGACAGGGACAAGGACGCTGAGCAAGGATGGCAGAAGGAAGGTGAAGGCAGGGCTCAGGGGAGAAGGTGTGGAGCCTGGAGGAAGGGAGGCTGGAGGGACACCCATCCTTCCTGGCCACAAGCTCTCCGGTGACAGCCACAATCCAAATCAAGGGACTTCTGAAGCCTCGGGGGAACCATCCTGCAGGTTCCTCTGACCTGGCTGGGCAAGGAAACTGCAGGCAGAGTGTTTGACCTAGATTTGGGGGTGGGGAGGCTCTCCTAGAAGGCCCCCAGCCATCAACAACATTTGCACTAAGCTTTACGTTTTATGGGATCTTGTCTGTGATGTTCTTAAGAGCCCTAGTAGTGCATTCCTGAAAGGCCACCAGGGGTTCAAACCCACCGGCTGCCCTGTAAGAGAAAGAAGAGGCAGTCGCTTCTGTGAAAATGTACAGCCTTGGAAACGCTCAGGGTAGTTTTACTCTGAGCTACACGGTTGCCAGGAGGCAGCTTGATGGCAGTGGGTTTGGTGGGTGTGAGGTCTTTAGGGTGACGTCCGCACCGGGAAGGTAAAGGCAGGGCTCAGGGGAGAAGGAAAAGGTCCTGGGGGGACATCTGTCCTTGCTGGTAACAGGCATAACCTGCATGCAGGGTTTGCTACCAATAGTCATTTCTACAGATGAAAAAACTGAGGCTTAGGGAGGAGGGCACCCTGGATGGGTACACTGTTTACCTGGCGCAGTGTAACAATGGCGCCTTATTCTCAGGGGTCCAAATCCTTGGCCATTGCTCACACTCGGAGCCTCTACTTCCCTCTGGGCAGCCACAGCTGGAAAGACCTGAACCCCGACCTCCTTCCATCCTTTCTCCAAATGCCACCCACCCCCGCCCCACACTGAGAGCTAGAAGGGTGCCCCCCAAATGTGACCATTCTCTTCCACTTGAACCCCTCCCCAGGCTACTTTCTTAACAGCCAGACTCACTCAGGGTTCCTTAGACCAGTCATTCACCCCTCCAGCAAACCCAGCAACCCAGAATGAGATGCCTTAAGATCTTTGCTGGCAGGCAGGCAGGAGGACCCCAGCTCTGTAAACAGAGGGTGCCATGCAACCCTCTCCCAGCAAGGTGGCAGGAGGGCAGCTGCTGGCTGCGTTGCCAGGGCTTCCCAGCTCTGGGGTAACACCAGGAGCCAGCGGCTGGGAAAGCCAAGGAACCCAGGAGCCGCCCCATCTGGTCCACACCCCCTTTCCCAGCCATCTGGGCTGGGTCTGTTCTGGTCCAGCCACACTACGGAGCCCTCCCCTTCAACACATGCTATCCTTCCACCCGTCTGTCCCTCTGTCCAAAGCAAACCCACTGACAGCCACAGACAGGCCCGGGTGTGTGGGAGGGGGTGGTGGGGATTCTCTGCAATAGCTATTCGTCTTTGGCAGGGATAGGGGCTCAAAACGGATGTGATTTTCCCTAGTGGGCAAGGCCACTCACACTCCCATGACCTCTATCCCCTCCAGTAATGCCATTGGTCACTCAGGTGTGAGCTGGACCTGGAAGGGATGGGAGTTCTCCTACTAGGTGAGGAGGAAGTGTGTGTGGAGGGTGGGGGGAGTCCTGAACCCTTCGGCTTGGGGAACCGAGAGGGCACGAGAGAGACCCCCCTCACTGGGAGCCTCAGATCCCTCAGGCCCCAGCCCCCCTCCCCCCTCCCCAGGTTCCACAATTCTCCAGTCCAGGTGCGGTGGGGGAAGGGGTATTAGGCAACACTGCAAAGGAGGGTACAGGGCGTGGGGCCTGCCAGGTGCCCCCACCCCCCACCCCCATCCTACTTTCCAGTCGTAGCTGCTGGAGAACCGGGGAAAGCCTCGAGGCCTGTTGGGAGGGCGCTGCAGGGTGCAGGGTTGCCGGGGGCGCGGAGCCATCAGACATCCTCCTGTCCCCAAGCTCCTGCCTCGGAGGACTACGCTGAGAGGTGGGGGAGGAGGGATGGGGAAAGCCTGAACTGGAGAGGCGGCGGCTGCCGGATGCGAAGCCCAGGGTCCGGGGCCGAGGGCGGCCTAGGGAAAATTCAGAAGGGGTGCGCGTGATCCTACCTGTTCAGGTGTGTGCCGGCAGGGGGGCGATGGGGTTCCCAGGAGAACCGGGGAAGCCCTCTCAGCTCAATTCAGGATTCCCCCCAGCTTCTGGGTTAGGCTGCTGCAAGAGGCACTGGTTTCCGTTGGGTCCTAAAGTCCACTCACCAGACGCTTGGCTCTCCACGCCCTCTCCTACAAGCCCGACTGGGTCAGCGGGTGCAGAGTTGAGGATTGATTGGGGGATAGGGGTGGAAGAGGGCGGGGAATATCACCCATAGGGAGAAAAATAAGGGTCTTGATCACAGGCTGGGGACAGGAGCAGCCCCTAGTCTGAAACCCACAGCCCAAGGATCAGAGGTGATTTAGCGAAGGGCAAGAGCAAATACTCCTGTCCGGCTGCCCCTAGCAGATCGGCTGTGGTGCTAGGGATGGGGTAAGAGAGCTCTCCTCAACTCACTTTCCTCCTGGGAATTTAGGGAGGGGGCATGCTTCTTTGGAAAGTGCTCACATCTGTCCACTCTCCCCTCCAATGCAGACAGACAGGCTCTCGGGTCCGTCCCTCCCTACTATTCCAAAGGACCAGGCAGCCACCTCAGGGGGACAGCTATCTGATTTCCAGCAGTTGTGGGGCGGACAGGATGCCTTGAATAACACTTAGGAACTGGGGGCGGGGGCTTTATTCTCTTAGACTGAAGGGGTGGTGGGAGTGGTGGTGGGTGTGTGTGTGTGTCTGGGGGAGGAGGGAGGGAAGGGTGTGTGCAAATACACATATCCAGATGGGGGTATGATTCCAATTCCGTGGCGCGGCAGGGGGAAGGAAAAAGGAGCAGAAAAAGAAGACTTCGGGTTGCACTCAGGGTCCCAAATAGCAGTTGTCAGTGGAAGAACAGGACCCAGAAACCCTGCCCATATCCGCAACAGCATCCTGAATCTATTCCAGAAAGAACACATGAAAGAGAAGCAAGATCTTCCCAGGTACCCCTTTGGGCAGGGTTCTCCTTACACAACCAGATGGGCTTTGAGGACCACCAGCAACTTTGGGAGCTAAAAAGGGAGAAGTCAGAATGACAATGGGGCGCCTGCAGAGGGCCCAAAGCAGGGAATGTGTCACGGGGTGAAGGGCCAGGGGAACTCGGAGCCAGATTTCAAGGAAGGGGGAAAGCAAGGCGGCTTCCTAGAAAGGCTGAGGGCAAGAACATGGCCTTTCTGTGGCAGGCCAGGAGGATCTGGGGAAAGGTGAGGACAGAGGGCCCCAGGGTGGAGACTCCGGGTGAGCTCAGGTCAAGCGTTCACCCTAATGTGCCTCAGTTGTCTCCCAGCTGTTAAACAGGGCTCTTGGCTCTTCCCAGGCCAAGTTAATGAGTGTTTACAAAAGGGCTTGGAGAGCCTCAGATCTCAGCTGGGCCACCACTAGTGTTATAAAGCTCAATAAGGGTTGAGTGTGATGGGGAGAATACGGGAAGGGGGGGTGGGGGGAAACAGATACATACCAACTGAGGCGAAAACCGAACTCCAGGGAAGCACAAGCCTCCCCTGCCACAGGATCTCCTTGCCCAGGGATGGAGGTCACCCCCCCACCCCCAGCCCACCACTACCACCATACCTCTAACCGCCACCAGAGGCTGGCCTCCAGCTAGCTGGAGGCAGAACCCAGACAAGCAGCTGGTCTTCATTAACTCCAGCTTTTTTTTCACCCCCCCACTGGGAACCCAGTTTCTACAGGCCCAGGCTAGAGGGGGCTGCCCTAGCCTGACCTTGCAGCTGACTGGAGTGGGGGACACCACCGGGAAGTATGGCCAAGTCACCAGCTGCAAAGAAAAGTTGGAGCAAGAGGCCCTTCTCCCATTGGGAGCCTGCCCTGAGAGAAGGGACTGGGAGTGTGGGGGTGAGAGGGTGGAGGTGGGGGAATTTAGGGCAAACTGCAGGCAGTGAAGTCAGCTGGATGGAGGCCCAGAAACCCCCACACCCTGCGGCCAAGTCTTACTCCAGCTTTGCTTTCTGCTTGAGTCTTGGCTGGGCCCCAAACTAGAGAAGGCCCTGGCTGCCCCTTTCCGCCTCCCTACCCCCACCCTTATTAAATACACATTTTATCTCTCAGCATCTTCATTATCTTAACTGGAGGAGACAAGCAGAGGATGGCGGCAGCAGAGAGCGTCAGGAGAGGGAGGGCGGGAGCAGGCGCACCCTTGTTATAAAGTGCTGATCCAGCTCTTTCAGGCAGTGTGGGAAACAGAGGAGAGATCAAAGGGAGTGAGGCTGATTCAGAACTCAATTAGAGCATTTTTTAAAAGGAGCTTGCTCTCTCCTTTCGCCAGGCTTCAGACAGCCTCTACCCAGGCCCCTTGCACCCAATTAGCTCCTGCTGCCAGTGCCTTGGGGCTGGGGTTGGAAATCAAGGGGAGACCAGGGGGCATGGCTTCTCCCCTCAGAAGGCACCTCTTCTGAGAGAGCCAGGAGGTTGTTGGTAGCTTAAGAGGCAAAGTGTTGGAGGGGGCACCGGATCTTCTCAGGCTCTGGAATCAAAGGTGGGTTTCCCTAACCCTCTCCTAACTGAAGGCACTTTCTGGCCAACACATAGGGTTTGCTAAGTGGCATCCAGACAGGTACCCTTCTCCCGTCTGTTGGCAGGACTCCTCCCACAACAAAGGCTTCCCTAGGGCAATGTGCAAGTGGCCACAAGCAAAATACACTGCATCAGAGGGCGCTAAGGGGACTTAATAGGTGACGCCAACAGCTAGCCCTCCACTGTCAAAATGCACCAGCCAGGTGCGGGGGTTGTGCTACTCCAGTGCCAGTCACGTTGGCCTCCAGATAAGGGCTGTCCTCAGAAACAGAAAGGCAGCATCCCATCTTATACGGTACGTGGAGCTGATGAAGTCCCTGGGGGCATAAGTTTAAGCCCACCTCATGGCGGTACTACAGAAGGGCCTGGCAGTCTGATGCCAGATGCCAAAGCTCACTGCCTGGAGTCAATCCCAGTTCCTTGAGACCGTATAGGAGAGCAGAACTGGCCCTGTGGGTTTCTGAGCTGCACATCTTCATGGAAGATGCTCTCCTGTGGAGCTGTGGGTGGCACCAAACTGCTGACCTTACTGTTAGCAGCCCCATACACAGCCCATTTTGCCACAAGGGCCGGACCACTTAGAAAAGCCTACCGAGCAGTTCTGCTCTGGGATGCCAGCTCATCTCACTCTGCAGCAGGTTTGGGTGGTTTTCGTTGGTTACCTTGCATATGGTTCCCAAAGGTCTAACCTGACCGATGGTGAAGAGGGGGCATGAACAGGTAGCGTTTGTGAATGGGGGTAGGGGTATGAGCCCACAGGGCCTAACAAGCAGGGGTGGGGACAGATACACATGGGACTCTAACTCCAATCCTGGTGCTGTCAGTTCTCCTGGGTGGCAGTACTAACCCCTCTGAGTATTTTTAATCCCTAGGTTGTCTAATTCCCTCTTCCCCCGTTCTTACTGGCATATTGTATTAGGGCACTCCACAGAGGGTGGGCAGTGGCCACTCTTGTGATCTTGAGGGGGCCTGGACCTCAGTCTTACCAGCTCTGTAGCCAGAGGCAAGTCTTCACGGAGCCAGCTCTGGGGTTGAAACCCAGACCAGCTTTAACATGTCTGTTTCCCAGGGCACTACCTCCCCGCAGATGGAGGGAAGCATTATCTGCTGCTGCTGTAGGGAACAAAAGGAGCCAGGGTATAGAAACACAGCCCACCTTCAAGGTCAGTCAGCATCTTTGCCACCATGCTATGTGAAGCAGCCTGTGCCCATGGCACCTACTGGTAGCTTCCAGCTCTTCCCAGCCCACTGAAGACCCCACCTCACCCTCAGCTTAAGGAAAAACGCCAGCTAGAAAAAGCGTTTCTTCCTTTAACTGTTCAAATGGCACAGGTCCTCCCTGACACACGTCTCTGCTCCTGCAAGGGCAGTGGGCGCCACACAGGGACTCGAAGTCGGCTTCACGCTTCATTGACAGAACCAGCCCTGTTCCAATTGCTGAGGTCTTAAGAGCAGCAATGACCTAGAAATTGACAGTGGGAGGGAGAACCGAAGGAAACTAACAACCCAATACACCGGGAACCCTCTTTCTAAATACAAGGGGGAGAGGGGAGAAGGGGCCGGGAGAGAAATGTGATTCTGGCTGGCAGCCCTGGAGGAGGATTCACAGCAGCCCCACTGGGAGGCAAGCCTTGTTCCCAACTTGAGCCCCAGCGAGATGGGGAGGCCACTCGTTTCTGGGCAGGCACCCACTGTGGACACAGAACAGACAGCAGCTGCCCACAGTGTGGAAACAAACTGTAAAGCAGTCACGTCTCTTAAGGCTGCAGCATCCAATAAAATGTAATTTAAATCAAGCCTCGCATCTGTTCTCAATCCCATTCAGTCTCTGCTTTCCCTCAGCCTTCGGACAATCTTTGCAATTATGCTTAACCCTTACAGCCCCAAACACTTTCCAACCTTTTCGGTCCTGGAGGAACGAGGCTCCTTATTTGTGAATGGCTTCAGAGGGGCTGGACGCTCTCAGGGGGAATGTGGGGGTGGAGGAGGGCAGTGTACATTTCAGCAGGCTCTGCTCACCCATACCACCTGCTGTAACCCAGATCACATTGCAGAGATGGGGGGTAGGACGAACACAACAGTGGCTGGCCGGCCATTCGGGCTCGTATCAAGTTCCTAAATGCAAGGCCTTGTTGGGGAGGCAGAAGGCAAGCAGCAGAACAGTTGGAGACAGCAGAGGCTTGGTCCCTGGACCTCATACTCATGTCACACAAGCAGTTGCTTGAGTTCTAAGAGCACACCAACAGGAGTCCAGTCCCTTTGCCCCTCCAAAAACTGCCCCAGCCCCAAGCCTGCACTTCCTAAGGCAGCCAGTGTTATAATAGTGCCCTCTGCTGTCCTCAACCAAAGCTGCCACTTGACGCAACCAAAGCTGCCACTTGACGCCACTGGAAACCAGACCCAGGAGAGGACCTGGAGTGAACATGGATTAGTTTGCCTAATGAGATAAATACAGTGAACCCTCGCCACTTCGCGCTTCGACTTCCGC